TGGCGCATGATTCGTAGACGGGGCCGTAGCGATAGTCCGAAGGTTCAATAGTCCGAAGGTTCATTGGTCCGAATGTTCACTACAGAACCTTCGGACCAATGAACCCTTGATTAAAAAACCGATGAAAATGTTACCGTTTTTCGGACCAATAAACCTTCGGACCAATGAACCTTCGGACTATCGAGACGCCCCCTCGTAGACTTATTGAAATGATTATATTATAAATGGATGATCCCTTGCAGAGATTGTTCAATGTTTGATGAAAAAAAATCAGAGGTCACTTGTACTTTTATCTTCTAAAGCGACAAACTTGAAATTTGGTGTACAGATAGCCATATCTGAGTGTGAATAAACCGTTTGAATTTTAAAGTTTTATCATTTACGTAGATAAAACAATACTCGTGTTTTTTTAGTGACACCATGTATGATGTCATATTCATAAGAGTTAAAAGTTGCCCAAACTGATTTTCATCCCCTACACATTTTTACAGACACTTCACTTTTGCCACACAATAATCATATATGCATGTAGGACTGGTCATGAACACGCAATTAAAATTTTGGTTCTAAGATTTTCCCAAACAGAAATATGCCTGTTAAATGGACAAAGAAAAAAACCTAAAAACAACAAACTTTTGAACTTTTGAATTTGCCAAAAAGTATGAAAATCAGTTAAGCACCTTTTAACAAATTTGATAAAATTGCCATATAACACCATATAGATCATACAATAAGCTGCTCTGTGGTATATAGATGGGTGTGTAGATTATATGAAGAGTAGATAATGAACAAGCGTTCATGTTATTTACATTTTATTTAAGCAAAACTATTGGATTTTGGTCAAATTTTGAGTCTCTCTGCACCAGACTTGGAACGGAACACTACACTTTCAATGAGAGATGTCCATATGGTACACAGGGAAGTCGCCAAGGCTGTGAAAAAACCAGCTGTTATATCAGGTTTGTACATGTGTATCTAGTCTACATGTATTTTTCAAAACATTCTGAAAGCAAATTTGTGTGTTTCTCATTATAAGTTTAACCAAGCATTCAAAAATATGTTCACTTTTTGTCACAATTTATATATTAGTTTATATTTTTCTCCAAAAACCAGAGTTGAGGTTAAATGAATAGTATGTATAAATGCAAATTATACTTTTTGTGTGAGTGAATGGCTGTTAAGAATTACAGTGCATATAAAGGATTTAACAGTCCTAGATACTTATATGTGTTTGAAATTTAACCTTCATAGCTATACAAATTTTATTTCATTGTATAATTGCAGCTCTTGAATTGTCCTCTGAATCATGTCCAGACTGCCATAAAATATTTAACCTTAGCACAGGCGATGGTTTCATTGACAAACTTCTACGAGGTATATCTGTTTTGATATATTAATATTCATGTTCAAATTCATGATTAAATACCTATGCTGTAAAGAGTTTAAGCAAAAGTAGGGAAGACATTTGGTAAATTTTCATTAACAAGTTTTAAAGCAATTCCTAGTGATCTACAAATATGATTGCCACCAAAGATTTACAACATTCTGTTTTTATAGAAATTAAGTCTCAGAATATTCTCTATTATATCAGGAGGCATTCTATCCAAAGGCATCACAGAGGTGGCTGGAGCTAGTGCAACTGGCAAAACACAGTTTTGTATTCAGTTGTGTTTAACAGTGCAGCTTCCTAGAGCACAGGGAGGATTGGGGGGAGGTGAGAAACCTAAACATAGTATTTTCATGTTATTTTCAAAGTTTTCCTTGGACTTAAAAAAGAGTTTCATAATCATCGTCAGTTCATACACAAGTAGCAATAATATGATTGTACTTTTATGTTTTCTGAACTGCTATTCCACTGAAATTTGACTTAAGCATAGGTGATTCTTATTGTAGTTTATGTGTATGGTGATTTGTTTGGTTAAGTCCTTTAAAACATTTGCTTTCAGCCATATATATATATATATATATATATATATATATATATATATATATATATTTTTTTTTTTTTTATTTATTGTTAGGTGCAGTGTACATATGCACAGAAGATGTTTTCCCTACTAAAAGGTTGCAACAAATGATTGGTGCATTCTGTAAAACCATTGATAAAGAGTTCCAGAAAATACAATTTGGGGACCAAATATTCATTGAGCATATTGCAGAAAAGGTGATATCCCCCTCACCATTTTATCAAGCAAGAACTTATAATCTAGTGACAATATATATGATGAGTATTATTAACTTTACTCTAACACATAAATGATTAATTAATGTTTTAAAATATTTCAGATGATTATATATTTTCTTAGAGATTGATAAATTATTTCTCTAAAATTTAGGAGGACCTCATTAGCTGTTTGAAGTATCGTCTACCAAAGTTACTGCAGAAAAATATAGTCAAGTTAGTGGTTATTGATTCTGTAGCAGCCCTTTTTAGGAGTGAATACCATCTCAGTGAATCTACTAAAAGGAGCAAACAGCTTAGCTCCTTAGGTGCTATTTTACATGAACTGAGCAGTAGCTCCAACATTCCAGTTGTCTGTGTAAATCAGGTAAGATTTTGATCAAAAGAAAATTAATTTATAGTTCTTCACCACACTTCTTATTAATTCACTTCAATTTTTTTCAGAGATAAGCTATGATTTATTTTAGACATTTAATGTTGAAACAATACCTTCCAGTAGCCTTAGGCATATTTGACATGATGCTCAGAGCCTACTCACCACAACTAGATATCAAATAATTAAATGTAATTGTAAAATTTTTATCACAAATAGGTTTTAATAAATTTTAACATTGAACTTTAAATTTTGCAGGTCTCTGATGTGATTAACCCGAGTGCAAAAAGCCATGGCAAACAGGTGACACCTTCCCTTGGACTGACCTGGGCAAATCTTGTCACCACTCGGCTCATGTTGACAAGGACAATATACAATGTAACAATTGAGCGGTCAGACACTGCTGGCAAAGTGTTGGATAAATATGAATCTGCTGTAAGAAAACTGGAAGCGGTGTTTGCACCACACTTGCAAAAGGACTGTTGTCACTTTGTGATAAGCTCAGATGGAGTTAAAGGCATTTTAATACAAGACACTCCTGATTGAAGAGACTGGGTCTCAGTTTTATCACTAAGAACTGGTTTTGATTAAATGTATTTGTTAAGTATAATTGTGTCATATGAATTCTATAACTATGAACATTTAAAAAATAAATGGAATATGTTTATATCCTACCAGATATCCCAAGAAGGTTCTATTCTCAGTTTCTTCGCTATTCAATATGCGATGAAAAAAAAACTACCAAACGTAATTTTTGCTTGAGATACGTCATTTTTTGGCCTTGAGTGGTGGAAGATAGATATTTATTTATTTAGCACTACCAAAAAAAAAATTGGAAAGAGAACGTAATGTAAGCGGTTAAGTAAGATTGAGTGTGCTCGACGTCGGAAACGAAGCCGTCCATGACGCTTACAACTTTGACGTCGTATGTTTATGACGTATTGGACACGGCATCGTGACATCGCTATGGGGCCTTTTTTGTAATAAAAACCAACAGATAAGAAAAAAACATCAAAAATGCAAGACGAAGAAAACTCCTTTGAGTTGCGCACGTATGAACGCATTTCCGAGTATGTGCCAGTTGGTAAGTCAATTTTCCTAAACCTTTTCACCTTCCAAGAAGAAGTCTGTTTGTGTTCCATCAAAGGGACAGCCTTCCACGTTGTCAACGTTAGTATAATGTAATATAATGCAAACCCAAATATATATAACCAATGTTTAGTTCCTTGAATAACCCATTCAATCTATTTATTTATTTTTTATTTGTTCATTTACCTATGAATCTAATGTAAAAATCATTGTATCAAAAATTTCTGCTGTTATCGATCGTATAGAAATCTCAAGTTGACTATTTAAATGTTTCAGAGGATACTGTAATTCAGAGGAACTTTGAGGAAGATTGGAAGAACAGCTGTCAAATATACGATGCTTTGAGAAAAGACTCGAAACTATGCGATGCAGTACTCGTTGTTGATCAGCGAGAATTCCCAGTCCACAGAGTCATCATGGCTGCCTGCAGTCCATATTTCAAAAGATTATTCACTAACCAAATGAACCCATCTTTTGATGGTGATTTTCCAATAGAATACCACATCTGTGACAAAATAAGTGCTGGAGTCATGGAAATTATCATCAATAATGCCTACAACAGGAAGATTGATATTAACCCTGAAAATATTGAGTTATTACTATCAGTTGCCGACCAGTTCCACATATTTGGTTTATTAAAAGCATGTGTCAATTATTTGGAAGAAAATTTGTCCGTGAAAAATTGCATTGGAATATGGATGCTAGCAAAACACCATAACTGCCCCAACCTAGAAAGCACAGTCTTTCGATTTTTGTTAAGACATTTTACACCCGTGTCATTCTATAGCCAAGAATTCGTCCAGTGTTCCGTAGATGATTTGGTTGGTTTACTAAGTGCCGAGAACTTAAATGTGGCAAATGAAGAAATTGCGTTCGAGGCTGTCATCCGCTGGATTTCTCAAGATCCAATTAATCGCAGAAAGTCCCTCCCCGTTCTGCTCCCAAATATCCGTCTTGGATTGCTCAGCAGTGACTTTTTCTGTACACAAGTCGTGAATGACGAGTACGTCAAAGCAGAGCCCCAGTGTGCCGCAATTTTAAATGAAGCACAAAAACTCATCGATGCACTGGACAGTGAGAAATATTCTGATGTAGATTTTACCCACCCCCTCACCTGCCCACGAGTCCCAGTTGACGTGTTGTTTGCTATCGGAGGGTGGAACACAAACAGCCCTACAAATCTGATTGAGACCTACGACACACGAGCAGATCGGTGGATCGAAGTCCAAGCACAGAGCCAAGATCTTGGTACGTAGTTGGTATACCTAACAGTGAGCACATGTACTAAATACCAGATGAGTCCACCAACAATAGTCATTTCTTTGGGAGCATTCCTGAGTAAGTCGGTTAGTAGTAATCAATAACATCATAATCCACAGGTCCTTCCACATAATTAATTTTCTCTTTTCGTTTGTCATTTAACTATTTAATTCATCTATTAAGGTCCGACAGCCTATCACGGCTGTGTAACTTTGGGAGGAAAAATCTTTATCATCGGCGGGTTTGATGGAGTCGAATATTACAGTCAGGTGCGGTATTACGACCCAGCAAACAAAAAGTGGTCAAAAGCCGCTCCTATGCACCACAAAAGGTAGATTGCTATTTATTTTAGATGTGTAGTAAGAAAAACTATGATATTTTCACAATAACGTTTTTATTCCAACAGGAAACCAGTCATTGCTTATGAAAGTGTATACGTTATCATTTGACCAAGTGACGTTTTCTGTCGGATGACGTGCAAATATTTTAGTATGACCCCAATGTTTTAGATTGTCTTGGTTATAATGATAAAAGACTAAATTTTATTCATTTACGTAAAAATTACCTTTCAACTTGACCCTATGTTTTTCTTTACGTGGACCTCTAAGAATCAAATGACCTATTTTAATCCCCTTAAATTCGTACAAGCGATAACTTTTTTTAAAAACACGTACGATAAATAACTTAACAAAGGAGTTTTTTTATTTAATCACAAAAAGAGTAAATTTTCTTTATGAAACCTTCATCATTTGGATTTTAATTTTATACTTTTAAATTCAAGTATATGAAGAACGTATGCAATTTTAATTTATAATCATTTTAATTGATTCTCATGTCTTATTCTAATATTCTAATGATGTAAGACTTAAATCTTCAGGTTGCAATTTTAAATTTTTCAATAAACCATTTATTATTATTATTATTATTATAAGGTGCTATGTCAATGTTACTATCCACGATGACAAAATCTACGCCATGGGAGGCTACAACGGGGACACACGTCTAAGCAGTGCCGAAAGATACACTCCCAGTACAAATCAGTGGACACCAATAGCGCACATGCACACCGCCAGAAGTGACGCAGGCGCTTGTGCATCAAAAGGTAAAAAAAATAATAATACATAAATCAGCATTTTTTTAATCAAGAGTCTGTGACAAAATTAATTGCCAATTATATTTAGAAAACAAATGTGACATCTGATGCTTTAAACTAGTTTTAAGCCATTTTCTTGTTGAAAATGATACAGTTTAGATATACTAAGCTTTTTGTCACAAGGATCATTACAACGTGATATACGCAAGGAGCCTCCATATTTTACAGATTTTGTCTTCTGCATCGGTGGTTTTAATGGCCTACACTGCTTGGACACAGGGGAGTATTATGATCCCCAAAATGAACAGTGGACCTACATAGCATTCATGTCATGCCCCAGAAGTGGAGTTGGTATGTACATGTATGCTGTATCTCTAAATATTTTTGACTGATGCCTAACACTGGGTGCTGTTAAGAAAAAATGTGTATCAATGGAATCATCTGCAAAACTGGTGACGAAAATTGATTCTTACCTTTGACAAGCGTTTCAAGTAGTTAAAATTTTGTATTTGAATTAAGCTTTATTGATACAATTTTCTTAATTTAATAAGTTTAAAAGTAAGTTCATTTATTTAATTTTCCATAGGAATTATTATGTATCACGACTACATCTATGCTGTTGGTGGGTTCAATGGCTTGCAGCGACTTAGCACCGTGGAAAAATACGATCATATCAGAAACACATGGAAACCTGTTCCTGATTTACATGTCCAGAGAAGTAACTTCGCCATAGAGGTACGTTACCGTCAATCAGCTGCTTTGGTTATAATTTAGTGCCAAATATATTTACCAACTTCCCTGTTTGCTGTGATGGTTATAACATTTCAAATCTGTTATTGAAACCTGGCGTTTTTATAAAATTTAAGTGTTTTGTTTGTTGACTTTACTCAAATGATAAGTTTTATTTGAAACTAATATCACAAAATTGTTTCCTTGTAAATCAGGTTATAGACGACATGATTTACGTAATCGGCGGTTATAACGGAGGAGCAACAATAAAGAAGGTTGAGTGTTATGATGACAATTCTGAAGAATGGTACGTCTATAGCAAACGGTTCAATATATATATATATATATATATATATATATATATATATATATATATATATATATATATATATATATATATATATATATATAATTGAAATCTTAAAAAAAAATTAGTTTTTAATCTTTAATCTCGTTTTATTTGTTATAAAATACCGATTTCACTAATAAGTTACCAGCTTCAAACACGGTTTACAAATGATCTAAAAAAAGCGCCATATTGTTTCCCTTTCTTTTTGTATCTTATTTTCATCATCCTTATTGTAATATTAATGAGGTCAGTGACAGTTTTCGAATTATTGCAGGTACGAAGCTTATGACATGAAATACAACCGGAGCGCGCTCAGTGCGACCGTGGTGCAAGACTTGCCAAATATCAAGGATTATATCGTCAAAAGGAACAATTAGACCTAAACTTTCCTTGAAATAAATCTGGTTTTATATTAAAAATGATGTTTGACATTAAGTTTATGCAATAAATATCTAGCAAAGGGGATTTGTCCCTTACGCGTTTTTGATTTTGAGTTGAAATCACATATCTTCCTGCGTTTTGAACTTTGTTTCCTGTCAATAAATTGGCCAATATTGTTAATTTGTTTTAGAGCCTATTTTACATACAAAGTTGTATGTTATATCTAGCATTAATAGCAATTTAACCCTGTCCCCTATTTCACCCATATGTGACAATTATAAATAGAATAACAATGACAAAATAAGTCAGTTTTGACATGATTCGTTTCCCTAAAGATTAAAACCCTAAAAACAGAATTGAAAACATGCACGCGTTTAATGTCATTATGAAGGTAAATCAATGGAAACTTTTGGCACTGACTACATGAAACATGTTTCTGCAGGCGTTCGTCTTTTGTTCCCTTGTAGGCCTATGGATTGATGAGGACGAGTCCACGGTTTTGATTTGGAAAAGGAAGGGCTCCTCAACCCCCCCACACTGTAAAAACAGTGTTTAGCATTTAAATACATACAACACACGTTGGGCACCTATACGAATTTAGAAATATGTGTAAAAGCTAAGCACGTATAGCTTTTCAAGCGTTTCACAGACGAAAAAGCTAGACACGTTGGCAGTGTTACACGTTTAGCTATGTGTTTAGCTTCACCGGCATATGATTCTATGACAAGTCTATCACAAGCTAAGCACATTGGCTAAGCACTTCCCCTGCTAAGCGCGTGAGGCTGCTAAACATATAGAGCTGCTATAGGTGTGGAACTCCTAAACGCGTGGAGCTGCTGAACAACACGTTAAGCTTTTCAAGCTTGTCACAGAAAAAAAAACTTCACAATCCCATGTATACGATCCCATAACAAGTTTATTACAAGACTCAACAATTTGGCTTAGCACTTCCCACTTCCCCTTGTAAACGTATGGAGCTGTTGTAGGCGTGGAACAGCCTGCTCGAACGCGTTGTGTCCTTCCTTGTAGTAACGTGTGATTATTTAAAATAGGCCTATTAAGTAATAATCCAAATAACAAATTCACGACGTTATCAGCTGGTAACATGATGGTGATGGTATAGAATAACGTTATGGTAACGTTATGGGTGTTTTTAATTCCATGCAAAATGATGCCCCTGCAGTTTTATAAGCGTTTTATAACATTCTGGAAAAACATTTTTTAATGTTTTGAAAATCTTTTTTATAAATAACCATAACACGTCTTATGCTAAATGAACTACAGTTAGTGGTTAATTCCAAATCGTTACCAAAATAACCAGCATGCGATGAAAGCTTAAATAAACCATTATAATGAATACCCCACCATCATCGTGATGTTCTATTGTTCATTACTTCCAGAAAAAATGAAAAGACATCAATACGTAACGCATTTTATCAAAATATGAAAATAAATGTTTTTAAGTAAAAGTGATAGTTGTTTCGTGATTTTAGTAAACTAGTGAATTTTCCTAACTTGATTTTAAGAAATATATTCCAATAACCTCCCTCGCAAGGTCAGCTAACACAAGAATGATTAACACCCACTGTAAATGTGATGGTGTTAAGTCGACAATGTTGACATTTTACGGTACCCTGTTATAGACAGAGATAGCTATAGCAGTTACAGGTGACCGTGACTTCGTGTGTGTGTGTGTGTGTGTGTGTGTGTGAAACCCTTACCATCTAAAAGTTAAGCAAAAAGGCCTACACCCTTCATTTATTAGGCGTCAAACGCGTCAAAGCGTGTAACATGTTAAAGAGCTTAACGTGCTTAGGAGCTAAACGCATCGAAAAAGTGAGACAAAACAGGCGCTTAGAAACGTGTTTAAATGCTAAACACTGTTTTTACAGTGCACACTTTAAATCCGCGTAAGATCATTTAAATAAAAATTTTGTCTGTCAGTGTATGATTCAAATATACAACAAAGATGACGTCGTGTTGCTGTCATGTACTTCAGTACTGTGACGTCAAATTTGATACACTATGACGTCACCTCTGCTCCGTGGAAACTAACTATCAAGGCTATTTCGTATAAAAAATGTTTCGTTAAAAAAAAGAAAATTGAAATTTGCCTGGCATAATTTGCGGTTTACTGAGGCATGGGCGAAGATGACCATTTTGAACACCGCACCTATGCAAAATTATCTGAAAGTAGACCGGTTGGTAAGTAAAAGCATGGTGAATCAGTTTTCGTGTTACACGATACAAATTTTAATACGTTTTCGTTGAGAGTTTAAAGATAATCTTATGTATAGTTTTCTATGCTCTCTTTACTAATGATAAAATAGAGGCATGTAATTTCAAGATGTTTAATGACAGTAAGGATAAGTTTGTACAATATATTACCCTGTATCATACATGAATTTCGAAAATTTCTACTAACTAACTAACTAATACGGCAATACTTGGGTCTTAGGTGATATTTGGATCCAGCGTAATTATGCAGGCGACTGGAGCAATAGTTGCAAAATATATAACGAACTGAGAAAACATTCAAAATTATGTGACGCAATACTCATTGTGGATAAAAGAGAATTTCCAGTCCATCGGGTCATCATGGCTGCTTGCAGTACATATTTCAAAGCTTTGTTTACCAATCAGCTGAGTCCATATTTCAATAGCTCTGCTCAGATTGAGTATCACATAATCGAAGGAATAGAGCCGGATATCATGGAAATCATCATTAATTATGCCTACACTGAAGAAGCCGAAATTACCCCTGAAAACATTGAATTATTACTGCCAGTTGCCGACCAGTTCCATGTATTTGGTCTACTTCGTTTATGCGTCAACTTTTTGAGACAAAACTTATCAATTGAGAATTGCATTGGTATTTGGATGCTAGCCAAACATCATTTCTGTACCAGTCTCGAACGCGCAGCATGTCGATTTCTGTTGAAGCATTTCACGGAGGTGGCCACTTACAGCCAAGAATTTGTTCAACTGTCCGTAGAGGAAGTACTCAGTGTACTCTGCTCGGAGCATCTTAATGCGACAAACGAAGAAACTACATTTGAGGCTGCTATCCGTTGGATTTCACACAACCCAGAAAGTCGCAAAAGGCACATACTTGACCTGCTTCGATGTGTCCGACTCGGATGGCTAAATTTCGAATATTTTGACACCCAAATAAAGGAAAATGAATTCGTCAAAGCAGAACCCAAATGTGCTCCTCTTTTGGCCGAAGCGCAGAAACTACTGGAGACTCTTGATATTGGGATGTATAGTAACGCCGACTTTACCCACCCCCTCACACGCCCCCGCATCCCAGTGGACGTATTGTTTGTTATCGGAGGATGGACCGAAGGGAATGCTTCCAGATTCATCGAAACTTACGACGCAAAAGCTGATCGCTGGATCCCATTATCCACTACATATGAAGACAAAGGTAAACTTGAAAACGCGTGAATACACATCCATTCATGTTTTTAAATCGGTACATGAAGCATAATAAAGAAAAACTTGTAGCTGGTGAGATATAGTAGCGTTGCAATTTGAAGAAATCCTCGGGTTTATTTTTTATTTTTACTTTTTTGTGTCAGTTGCGACAGCCTATCACGGTTGCGTATCACTGAGAGGTCAAATTTACGTCATTGGAGGATTTGATGGAGTTGAACATTACAATCAAGTGAGAAGTTTTGATCCAGCACGAAAGAAATGGTCCGTCATAGCTCCTATGCACCATAAAAGGTAATCTACTCCATACACCAGGCTACAGATACGATATGATAAATATGATAAGAAAGTGCATTACGTTTAAACTAACATCACTCTAGTTGTATTGGCATAGATGGCGATTGGCGTAGATCTTTAAAAAATTAAAATACATGTAGGCTTTTGGTCGCGTGTTGAATAACTGCCTTTTATGTCTATTTTATCTAGATGCTATGTCAACGTTACTGTGCATAATGACAAAATCTATGCCATGGGAGGCTATAATGGGCATGCTCGCCTACCAAGTGCCGAAAGATATAACCCCGACACTAACCAGTGGAGCCAGATTGCGGCAATGCATAATGCAAGAAGTGACGCAGCCGCCTGTGCGTTAAGAGGTAAGGTTTATCTTACATTTCTTATCTCCGTCTTTCTCTCTCGCCTGGTACGCTTGAACATAAGAATCTTTCAAGAATAAAGATAGAAAGAGACTCTATAATGTCTAAACACAAGCAATCTAACTACATACTATGCAATAAGACCCACCATTACTTTTGACGTATTTGTTTCAGAGACTAATTTCCTCCTGAGATTGTATTCGTAAAATAGAATTGTGATTTCCCCCTACAGAACAATTTTGTTCACCATGTAGTTCAGAATGATGAATTCGCCAATACGACTGTGGATCGATCAATCTCCTAGGGGATTCTTTCTAAATTGCAATCAACGAAAGCGGCTTAGATGTCTGTCACGCCTACTGAAACTGCTAGGGGGTAATTAACTATCGTTTAGCAGCTTCAGTAGGCGTGTCAGACATCTTAGCCGGTTAAGCTGAAAGCAATTTAGCGAGAAACCCCTCGGAGATAGGTCGATCCTGTTAGATCGATCTAGGTATGGGAACTCAACCCAGTCTTACTTCTTCTTCAACGCTTAGGATTTATCTGACTTTATTTACATTCCAGACTTTGTGTACTGTATTGGCGGCTTCAATGGCTATGATTGCCTGGACACTGGCGAGTATTACAACCCTCAAACTGACCAATGGACATATATAGCGCCATTGTCAAGTCCAAGAAGTGGCGTTGGTAAGCGGTTGTCTAATTAAATGTTTGAGCTGTTTGCATATTACTGGATGGGTCAATTGTCAAACTCTTCATTTGAATTAATTCAAGCATTCAATTTCTATACCACATATATGTTTATGTATATTTCTGTTATTATTCTAAAATGTCAAAAAGGAAATGTGCTTAGGATTAAACTTAATTCAAAATGTATTTTGTAACTATTAAAGATTGAATCAGTTAATTTACTATTGTGAATTACATTTATCGGATATGATATTTATATACTCTTGAATATTTTTTCGATTCACACATTCGAATATTCTCAGGGGTTGTCATGTATCACGGCTACATCTATGCAGTTGGCGGGTACAATGGCTCACAGCGATTGAACACCGTGGAAAAATTCGACCAAGTCCGAAATATATGGAAACCTGTCCCCGAACTTCATAGCCAGAGAAGCAACTTTGCCATCGAGGTGGAGTATAACAGCCAAAACAACTTCTTTTTAGTATTTTCGTTAACAAGAGAGTTGTTGCATCTCATCCGGTGGTCAAACTCTTTTTAACATCCTTCTCTTAAATGGTTACAACTGTTTAAACTTACAATAAGAAATCTCACTCTATACTTTGTTGTGTAATCAACGACAACAGTAGATTTTTCCATTTCTTTTTTTAGCTATATTAAGCTAAAACTGTTAAACACATAACATAGCCACGGTGTTATCAGTCTTTTTCACGATATTTTATTTCTATATAGAATTCCCACTTTAATGTATTTATCTTACCAAATTTGACAGTAATCAGCTTAATGATCTTCAACTATAGGTCACAGACGACAAGATTTTCGTCATTGGGGGTTTTAATGGCGTTACAACAATCAAGGATGTAGAATGTTTCGATGGAAAGAGGGAAGAATGGTAAGATTTTCTAATGAAACTGCTTGGAAATAACAGAACACATTTGTTTTTTTTTCACGAAAACCCGATCGGCTTTCCGCACACGTTGAATTATTCTTAATTTCCATGTAACATAACATTTACAAACAATTTGGAACTTTGTCTCATGATAATTGATGTCTCATGGTATCTGTCTAATTTTGTTTTAGGTACGATGTTTGCGACATGAACCTCAACCGAAGTGCGCTTGGCGCGGCCGTGGTTAAAGACTTGCCGAACGTCAAGGATTACATTATAAAAAGAACAAAATAATCTCATTTTGCCTGTCCGTTTGTATGAAACTGCTTTATTTTTGTCTATCGACCGGTTGCACAAACAAGGGGAAATATAGTGCCACTGTCAAACCTAAAACTTTGATTACAAAATTTTAACAGTTGGTTTGAGATACGTGCCAGAAATACAACTGGCCGATTGCCCTTAACAATTCTGTTTGCAAAACAAGGTATATTTATGGGAACATATTAAATCGTATAGTAGACACTGGGAGTTATAATTGTAAGATTACTTTCGACGCCCCTAAATTACAGACAGAGGACATTGATAGGATTTCGCAGAACACAATCCCACATTCGGGTGTGCTTTTTGACAGCCTAATGGTGAAGTAGTCTAAAACTTTTTGAGGATATTTCGGCGTTTCAGTTGTGCAAAGGTTTGTTGGTTTAGAAGTACGAAGGTTCATTTATCTTAAATCAGTTCAAAGGTTGTTATTTCATCATCCTGTAGAAATTGCATCTTGACATTTTTTCACATACAAGTTACCATGAACTATGAATTATATTCAACTTAGCAAGTACCAAATATAATGGGCTTCAGTGAAATAATTGAAAGTACACGTAGACAACAACAGTGGAGTTAGGGGATTTTCGTAAGGAAAAAAATCCGTCTGCTCTTATAATTGTTATATATCAGTTTACTAAAATTCAAATAGATTTGGACTAATTGAAACAACACTGGTTACATCATATTTAGTCTAAACTGATGTTTTCTCCTGCTTCAAATTGTATGTAACAGGTTTCGAGGACGATTAAAAAAATCTCCAAAACAGCATGTATTTAAACAAGATATCTTTATTTTACACAAAATCTCAAACTTGCTGCGATATACCAATATTAAAATGTAAACTGTGATTGTATGGACGGCAACTGAACGTTTTTAGATTAATTTTCACGAGCAAGTACGTAGAAGAGAAGATTTACATAGATGAAGAAAAACGGATAACTAGTATCGGGAAAATATAAGAAGCAACAAAAGTTGGAAACAAGCTGAAAATTTAAATTATGCACAAACAATATATATGTCATTGGCATCACTACACTAAAAACAGCAAAGCAATGAGAAATATGATACAAGTACCATTTTACAAATTGGAATCGACTTACTGGTAATTGAAATCATATATTACCAGGCATTGAAAACGATAATTCATTTTAAATAAAAAAAACTATAAAGAACACATATCCAAATATTAAATGCCAAGTACTAGGATTTCATTAATTCTGCGATAAACACATCACGATCAACTATATATATATATATACTCACTTTTATTGTAATAAGTCGTCTTTTCATTATTTCTCTGGTGTGAATTTTTTCTCTTCACACCAAACACTATCATTTAAGCTACTACACTTTCACTAAATTCATCAGGGGGTTAAGTATTATCTTAAAGTGAACATAATTTCAACTTAGTTCACTAGCCATGGAAAAAACTAAACTACATAAAGTAGATTTAAGTTAAACCCTCACAGGTAAAATGAAAGCAATATTTAAGTGAAGTGACAATTCACTGCATCTTGACCACAAGGACGCGAGCACATTTATTTAATAATAAAACACAAAAGAAGCTTAGCATAGTTCTCAGCTTTCAACAAAAGAAATCCACACTCTTATCATGATTACAAATAGATTTAAAATGTGTGACATAGCTCCAGAAATGTACACTATATACAGGTAGATATAAATACTGTAATTACAATACTCCAGTTTCTTGATATGTCTATTAAACAGCCAGGAAATTACCTGTTCACAAACAAAACCAGTGGTTTTTTTTGTTTATTTGGGACCAAATCCATCATTATGTGACTTCTCATTCCCTATATTTCAATAATATAGTTTCAATTTCCTATTATTGCTTTCTTCCACATACATATTTGTATCACAGAGATATATGACCTACTTTGATGATCCCACATCAATATATGCTATATACAACTGCACGCAATAAATAAATGGGTCCTTATCTTGGATATTTTCGCTTACAGATACACCAGGGTATCATACAGAACAAATGGTTTACCATTTAAGTCTTTACTGAGCCAAAGTTTTCTCTGACACATTTGACAGTTAGAGATAATGAATCTGAGAGCACAATACAAAGACAGTGAATGTTGATGATAGAAAAAGCACTTCATATCAAATAAACATGAATACAAAAACAGTTACGATACAGGCAATTGATGTCCTCTTAGATTTTATTCAACAATTATACACTACTGCTCCATCAGAAACTTGCAAATGCCTGTCATGTGTCAGTGAGAAATACAGCAATAACCTGCAAAAAAATAAAAAAATAAAAATAAAAATAAATAAATAAATAGAGCACTTACAGACAAGTAAAAGAAAAAAAAATCCAAAAAATGTACAAAAATTTCTTTCTAACATTTTTATTTGCCATTGACTAAAATTTAGAAAGTGGGTTGGCTGGTATATAAAAATAAATAAATTTATTTATAAATAAGTAAATAAATAAATATTACATTAAAAAATAAATAAAATAATAGAGATTTTTCCAAAAGCTGAACTTTTTGCAATTCAAAGTTAAAAATATTCATTCTGGTATTATAAAAATTACAAATATCTACTGCAAATTACCATGTGTTGGTCTACACTGCAACAACATCATTCTCATCATCAATTCCATTTCCATTCACTAGCAATGAACCATCACTGGGAGGGGAACCCATGTCATCTAAATCAGGGACCAGACTTTCAATGTTCTTCTTCTTAGAAAGATCATTCAATCCTGAAAAATAAAAAATAAAAAAATATGGCTCAATAATTACAAATCAAAAACCAGACTTTCAGTGTTTTTTTAAAGAAAGGTCATTTAATACTGGTCATTTAATCTGGCACAATAGTTATGAACCTTAACAATAGTTATTGCACATTTAGCAAAAAGTTACAATGGTTAAATAAAATCAGCTTTAAAAAATCATCCACATTTTTTTCGGCAGCACATAAAATTCTCACCTTTTCCAAGACCTGTCCCCTGACCTCCAAGTGGAGCCAGTTTGCCCTTTCTTAATGGAGGCAAACCATTCTCATTGGACAGAGCAGGGCCATTCAGGGGAGGAATATCAGACTCTTTCCTGGGACTCTTCTTCTCCCCAAACTTGCTCCCAACTGGGACCTCTGCCTCACCCAGGTCCCCAGGAGTCTCGTCTTTATTGGTGGTGTTGATCTCCTCTGCTGGCCTTGGTGACTTTTTCTTCTTGCTTTGATCTTGTTTGTCTTCCACACCCAAAGCTGGCAAAAAAATGGTTTGCAAGAGTTAAGTAGAGTGTCCAGGTCTAAAATCTAATTATGGTCTTTAGTTTCTCTCGAAGCAATAAGCACTTGTAGAATGGGTGTGGTAAATAGTAATACAACAAAAGCTCCTCCAATCTTTCTCAATCAATCAATTACAAAACCAACTGTATATTTTTGATACATATCTTTTTACATATATAAAATTTACATCGCCACCAAAATTACAACATCCTCAAACTTGACTTACCATCTTCAGGTATGTCGACTGCAAGTTTGGCACCCTTGCTGAGCCTATCACAGAGCATGCCGATGTGTTTCCTCAGTTTGCTGGTGTCCCTGGGCATAGTGAGGGGGGACGGGTTCACTGTCTGGTCCTTGGCATTCTTAGCCAGGCAGGTTCTTAGCAGGTGGGTTATTGCTGCATCTACACACTCCTCCCAGCCCTGGTACAGAAAATAATGCATAGATGAAATAATTACAAATCTAACATGTGCTGGTTGCAAAGTAGTTCTCCTTTCAAACAGTATATTCCGTTACATTTATTCAAAATTCAAATCTCTCACTTATTATATTGAGCATATATTTTTCCCCTATATTTATTGATGTATCACTTCAGTTGCTAAATATTATCCTACTTTCGTACAATTATATAGCTTGCTTGACAAAATTTCTGTGCTCTTTTTCAATGTATTATCTGCAAAACTAATTTGGGAAATGTAACTCATCAATTTTGCTTGGTTTCAGTGAGCACCAATGATGTGATCTAAATTTCCAATTGACCAAGGCAAACATTCCAAAAATCCTCCAATGATGATGTTCCACCATTCTACATCAGAATTATTATTATTCAAAATAAACAGAAAACGGTGACATGGCCAGTTATCTAAAATCTTGCTTTTTTAATCCTCCCACATGCAGATCTGTCTAATTCTATTCTTCATATACATTACTCACCAGCTCCCCACTGTCCTCCACCTGGGGTGATATACTGGTCTCCAGCACTCTGAATTCCTTGTCCGTCATGTTCCCCATCAGACGGATCAGCAGATTGAGCAGACGTGTGGCACTGCTCAGGTGACTGGCTACTTTGGCTAACAGATGCTTGTTTTCCTCCACTGCCTCCCCTAATGCTAAGATCTAGAATATATATAAGACATGTCACAGAGAATGTTATGGAAACATCATGTATGGTGTAGTTTGCATCATAACTGTCAATAAGGCTTTAGCGTGATTCTATTGTAAATTTAACTACTTGGTGGCAATTCTAGCAAAAAAAAAAAAGACTTCTCTCAAAGTCCAAATTACCATATGTCATAGAAGATCAAACATGTCATGATAGCATGTTGATACAGCTGCTGTATTGTAACAATCCCAAGGGTGGGTTACCTGTCTATAAGTGCCATCCAACAGAGTGTCTAAGTTAGCAAGAGGGGATGGTGTCTTGTCCTTAAACTTGGTCAGAAGGCGNTCTAAATCAGGGACCAGACTTTCAATGTTCTTCTTCTTAGAAAGATCATTCAATCCTGAAAAATAAAAAATAAAAAAATATGGCTCAATAATTACAAATCAAAAACCAGACTTTCAGTGTTTTTTTAAAGAAAGGTCATTTAATACTGGTCATTTAATCTGGCACAATAGTTATGAACCTTAACAATAGTTATTGCACATTTAGCAAAAAGTTACAATGGTTAAATAAAATCAGCTTTAAAAAATCATCCACATTTTTTTCGGCAGCACATAAAATTCTCACCTTTTCCAAGACCTGTCCCCTGACCTCCAAGTGGAGCCAGTTTGCCCTTTCTTAATGGAGGCAAACCATTCTCATTGGACAGAGCAGGGCCATTCAGGGGAGGAATATCAGACTCTTTCCTGGGACTCTTCTTCTCCCCAAACTTGCTCCCAACTGGGACCTCTGCCTCACCCAGGTCCCCAGGAGTCTCGTCTTTATTGGTGGTGTTGATCTCCTCTGCTGGCCTAGGTGACTTTTTCTTCTTGCTTTGATCTTGTTTGTCTTCCACACCCAAAGCTGGCAAAAAAATGGTTTGCAAGAGTTAAGTAGAGTGTCCAGGTCTAAAATCTAATTATGGTCTTTAGTTTCTCTCGAAGCAATAAGCACTTGTAGAATGGGTGTGGTAAATAGTAATACAACAAAAGCTCCTCCAATCTTTCTCAATCAATCAATTACAAAACCAACTGTATATTTTTGATACATATCTTTTTACATATATAAAATTTACATCGCCACCAAAATTACAACATCCTCAAACTTGACTTACCATCTTCAGGTATGTCGACTGCAAGTTTGGCACCCTTGCTGAGCCTATCACAGAGCATGCCGATGTGTTTCCTCAGTTTGCTGGTGTCCCTGGGCATAGTGAGGGGGGACGGGTTCACTGTCTGGTCCTTGGCATTCTTAGCCAGGCAGGTTCTTAGCAGGTGGGTTATTGCTGCATCTACACACTCCTCCCAGCCCTGGTACAGAAAATAATGCATAGATGAAATAATTACAAATCTAACATGTGCTGGTTGCAAAGTAGTTCTCCTTTCAAACAGTATATTCCGTTACATTTATTCAAAATTCAAATCTCTCACTTATTATATTGAGCATATATTTTTCCCCTATATTTATTGATGTATCACTTCAGTTGCTAAATATTATCCTACTTTCGTACAATTATATAGCTTGCTTGACAAAATTTCTGTGCTCTTTTTCAATGTATTATCTGCAAAACTAATTTGGGAAATGTAACTGATCAATTTTGCTTGGTTTCAGTGAGCACCAATGATGTGATCTAAATTTCCAATTGACCAAGGCAAACATTCCAAAAATCCTCCAATGATGATGTTCCACCATTCTACATCAGAATTATTATTATTCAAAATAAACAGAAAACGGTGACATGGCCAGTTATCTAAAATCTTGCTTTTTTAATCCTCCCACATGCAGATCTGTCTAATTCTATTCTTCATATACATTACTCACCAGCTCCCCACTGTCCTCCACCTGGGGTGATATACTGGTCTCCAGCACTCTGAATTCCTTGTCCGTCATGTTCCCCATCAGACGGATCAGCAGATTGAGCAGACGTGTGGCACTGCTCAGGTGACTGGCTACTTTGGCTAACAGATGCTTGTTTTCCTCCACTGCCTCCCCTAATGCTAAGATCTAGAATATATATAAGACATGTCACAGAGAATGTTATGGAAACATCATGTATGGTGTAGTTTGCATCATAACTGTCAATAAGGCTTTAGCGTGATTCTATTGTAAATTTAACTACTTGGTGGCAATTCTAGCAAAAAAAAAAAAAGACTTCTCTCAAAGTCCAAATGACCATATGTCATAGAAGATCAAACAGCTGCTGTATTGTAACAATCCCAAGGGTGGGTTACCTGTCTATATGTGCCATCCAACAGAGTGTCTAAGTTAGCAAGAGGGGATGGTGTCTTGTCCTTAAACTTGGTCAGAAGGCGCCTCTGAATTGCTCTGAACTGTGCTGCCCTCTGTCCCAATACTTCTTTCATTTGGAGATCTTTTAACCTTACCTGGAATATAAATAATAATAATAATAATAAAGCAAGAGTAACATAATTTTGAAATAGAACTGAAATTCCATTCTTATGATCTCTCACTTTCTGTAATTCTTACATCTTAAAAGTGTCTCACTGTGTGCCACTAAAAATGACTTTTCTGACAAAAAAGATGTTCCATCAAGCATGAAAAATCTGTAATGGATTATGCCATAAAAGCAAATGAAGATACCAATATTATTCTATGTTGATTGCTCTTCACATGATGTAACTAAAATAAATACATTAATGATTATACCCTGTGAGTCAAATAAACTTTAGGAATGACCACACCCAGTGGCCAGAGACACCAGAACTAACTAGGCAAAAATGTTCAAAGGTGTAGATTAGCAAAGTTTAAAGAAGACACCACAATTTACAGATGTACACTTTTTTCTTCTTACTTCAAAATGGTGATCAACCACATCAAAGTATTCTGCAAGAGGCATGGTTCCCGAGAAGGAGCACTGAAAGTCTGTAGCACGACGGGCCATGAAATACTTTTCTAGTCTCTTTACTAATTCATTTGTCATAATCCACATGGCTTGAAAGACATCACTTTGTAGTCGGTAGCGCTCTAAAACAAAAATTGAGGCAACTTGATACACAGATAGTGATGATAATTCATTAACAAAAAATCCCATAATAACAGTATTTCAAATTTTTCAGGTTCCATGCTATCATTTTTAAATAAATTGTCAATACATTTTTTTTGTGACTCCCAAATCAGTTATATATCACAAAAGATAGAATAAAATTCCTCACGTGATGTTTTGGATGCTAACATTGTGACCACTACACCACCATAAAACTGAAATCCCAGAGCATTGCCAGGACCGCCTGCATTCTCTCCAAGGAGATCTATCAAAATGGTAAAAATCAAACATTATTTTCATGAAATATCATGAATCTCACATTTTACAAATTTCCCTAAGACATTAACTCTTTATTTCGTACAAAAAATCCCAGAAGTGATGTTCACAAAAACAACAAAACAGGTCTATAATGTTTTTTTTTTGTATCATAAATAAATTGCTTTTTGAGTTTAACAGAATATTATATTCTATACCTAGTGAAAAAAAAAATTAAGTAATGCCTTTCAATTATATCTCATTTCATGAAAGTTATTTCATTTCAAGTTGAAACTCAATTGAATACAATTTCAAACTGAAAATAACCAAGTCCGTACGATTACACTTCACAACTTACCTGGGAAAATGTCATTGAGACTAACTGGTGGTTTATTTGTATCTATTGTGACTTTATGTGTGGCCATCTTCATGGGAAGGCATGGGTGAATAACAAGTTTAATGGGTAGTGGGATCAGGGCTTGTGCTACTCTTGGAGCCCCTGCAGCATTCTGATAGGTGGCAGTAATTTCGGCACTGAGATCTGACGGCATAAAATCATTCTTTAAAAAGAACGAAATTAGCACTTCCCCTGGTCTATTGGAATCTGGAAAAGAAATTATATGATAAGCAGGAAAAAAACTTATAAAGGACGAATAAATATCATTAGTTTACTAACTTAAGGGAGTAGCATGTTAAAGTTATGCATTCTAAAGACTAAGAAATTTTTGGTTTCAGATATCTCATCAACTATCAGATCAGTACTGTGCAATTACAAAGCTATGTTAAAGCCAGTGTTTTCAGTATTAAATAAGAACTTATAATAATGCAATGCATGGCAATGTGACAGGACAGAGTATCCTGTATCTTACCTAGTGTTGAGAACTGGTATTGTGTTTGACTTGCTGCCAGAGGAAGTGCAGTATGAACAGAAAACCGTACATTTTGAACTGCTGTCTTTGCCTTAATGCTGACCTGTGAATGCAGAAACATTTTTTAAATGGCTTTTTTCTCTGCTACCTTCTCATTTTTATTTATTCATTTTTTTGGGAGGGTGTAGAGGGGGGTGGAGGGTGGAGAGCGAACTAAAATGTTCCTACATGTACTAATTTAAACTAATAAGTTTATAAGTATATTGTCTTTTTATTATCAATGAAACTATGTAGAGGAGCAGAAAATTAGATAAATAAATACTTGTTTTATGGACACAGTCCTATGAAGTTAAGCCAATCTAGCTTACCTTAACTGTAATAGATGGAATGGTTCCTTCACTATCTGAGATCTCTACACCTTGAGCTTGCTGAAAAATTAAATGGAAAGACAAATATAGGGATATCAAACAATCTACAAATATTAATCCAAACTGACTGTATATGTTGTATTTACAATGTTCTGTAAATAGTTTCTTAGCCTATAACACTCTTCCATGCAGAATCATTTCCAAAACAAATGGCAACAAACTCCAAGCACTTAATTAGACCATAACACACCTTTAAAACCAATGTTCACTTCAAATCGCTATACACTTATGGACTATATTTTTATGCTGCTGAAGTGGGGACCAATAATCACTAAGTGCACATTTAGCACATTAAAAGTTGTCCAATGGTAATTATATTAATGAAGAAATACTGAGAACATTTTGCACAAAATCTTTGCTGTACAGCTGTAACATTTTTTCAACATAATAACCAAACTTGTATACATGATTTTAGTTTTATTTACACGTTGTTGACATGAGGTTAAACCATATATTAAGTGCTCCTATAATGATTTGTTGTGAAAGAAAAAGGTCACAAACATTTACACACACTTATAAATATTTGCCTGTCAAAGTTTTTGGGGTTATATAAGAGAGACACATAAACTAGACAGATACACTTTGTGGTTTGACAAAATCTTGTTGATTTTACATCCCCAAACAACTGCACATCCACGCCCAAGGAAAAGCAAACACCATGTGTAGCCTTGTCCATGAAGTCAATTGGATAGATGACTAATCAACACGACAAAGAATGAGACCACACAACTTACATGTACCAACTTTACTGGTTCATTTTACTTATTTAACAACCAACCAACCAACAAACCAAACATCAAAATTCAGACCACTTGAGACACCATGCATCACTTACATAGTGGTCACTGAACCTTAGTATGGAATTAGTAGCAAAATCTACTTCCTCTCTAGATCTGACATGATATGTTTCATAGGTGGGAAATTCCAAACCCACTGCTTGCTATCAGGTGTACAATAACAAACAAGGGCTGTGTTACTGGTTACATGTTTTGCATGCATAAAATGATATTTTTACAGAAGTATTTGGTGTAATTTAAATTCAACATAAAATATTACATTTTTCTTCATGTAATTCTGATAGTCTGAGGAAAAATTCCGGTAAATGTTGATTCATTTTAAATCTTTTTTTTTCTCAGCAAATTTAAGGGCAAGAACATTCGATTTTACATCCATGCATCTGCAGGTTAACATTGGTTATGAGGAGGCTTTCAGGGACCATTAATGTTTTTTCAAACACTTACAGAAATTGAATCCAACTGATCTGGAACGTGTACTTGTAGGGTAACATCATCATCTGAACTAAGGGCTGGCAACAAACCTAAAAACAGACAATACATGCAAGCTCAAATATCTGTGCATCAAAAGAAACATACCAGAAACCAATGACATAATTAAATTAATAATTTCTTTATTGTATTACATGTTAATTAATATGTGCGAGCATGTTGGTGTTATGTATATGCAAATTTGTACATTTTCTAATAAAAATTTGAATGGAATAAAAAATAGCACATGAATTTTTGGTCTACTAAGCATAAATAGACTGAAAAAACCATGACAAAATATGGTTATCCTATATTTTGAAGCAGTGTCTGTAAATCAATGCAAACTTAAAAACCAAATCAAGTCAACTGTCTGCACAAATAACTCTCACTGGTAACACAATTAAAATATTAAAAGAGAGAAAAATTCTTGAATAAAGAGAAGGCAGCAATACTGTCCAATGTACAGAACAATAATACCAGTAACAGAACTGCTTAAATGTTCCAAAGTATCAGATGAAATATTGACAAATATCCTGTGAATTTAAGAAAATTGTATGCATTGGACTGAATAGTGCATGGCAACAGTGTTGACAGAAGTAGGTGATGGCTAAATGTAAAGACACACTTTGCATGTACATAAGGAAATATCAATAACTCTCAGAAAAGGTATCAGAAAAAGCTATACAAGAAATAGTTATACCAAATTTCTCCTCTGCAGAGCACAAGTAAAATTGAAGGACAAAAATGTCAAAATGGTACAGTATTGGAGCACATGTATAAATTGCAATGACTGTAAATATATGTAAACTGTCAAAATAATAATAGCATAAATAATTTCAGAAGTACCATTTTCATATACCACTGACAGTAAACACAAAGTGCTGGATACACAAATTACATTTTTATAATTGCACAGTGGTATATACATTAATGGGAATTTATGTTCATCATTTTGCTTATCAATGAGTACATAAATTACTCTCAGAAAAAGGAATAAAACTAATTACTGGTTTTTGCAGACTGCTCCTTGATAATTTTCTGCAGCTGTTGCATTTCTTGGTCCTGGTCAGCATAATTGATTTCTCTGGCCTCTGACTGCTGGGTGACAAATAAAGCTGGGTCTGTACCTAGATAGCTACAGTCTATGTGGCCATACTCATCTAGGGTCACTATCACACCCTTCAAATCCCTAAAATGAAATTGTTATTTAACAAGTGACAAGAGAGAAAAATTAAGAAAAACAAAATTGCATTTTTAAAATTTTTTAAATGTTTTCAAATATAAATTCACAATATCATAAGAGACTTGGGTTACTCACTTTATTAAAACACTTTTCCACATCTGATTCAATACTTACTGCAAACAGCAAAACCTGGCTTAATAATTTGAAATTCAAAAAACCAAAACTAAAACAATAAAAATAGTAAAAAAGAAATAAATGCATAAGATATCAAATTATGGTTATTAAGTACAGAATAATACTCACTGAAAGTTTCCTCTTTTCAGCTGCACAGGTAAATGTTGAAGCTGTNCAGAAACATCTGTGTCTGTACATAAAAACCATGACAAAATATGGTTATCCTGTATTTTGAAGCAGTGTCTGTAAATCAATGCAAACTTAAAAACCAAATCAAGTCAACTGTCTGCACAAATAACTCTCACTGGTAACACAATTAAAAATATTAAAAGAGAGAAAAATTCTTGAATAAAGAGAAGGCAGCAATACTGTCCAATGTACAGAACAATAATACCAGTAACAGAACTGCTTAAATGTTCCAAAGTATCAGATGAAATATTGACAAATATCCTGTGAATTTAAGAAAATTGTATGCATTGGATTGAATAGTGTATGGCAACAGTGTTGACAGAAGTAGGTGATGGCTAAATGTAAAGACACACTTTGCATGTTCATAAGGAAATATCAATAACTCTCAGAAAAGGTATCAGAAAAAGATATACAAGAAATAGTTATACCAAATTTCTCCTCTGCAGAGCACAAGTAAAATTGAAGGACAAAAATGTCAAAATGGTACAGTATTAGAGCACATGTATAAATTGCAATGACTGTAAATATATGTAAACTGTCAAAATAATAATAGCATAAATAATTTCAGAAGTATCATTTTCATATACCACTGACAGTAAGCACAAAGTGCTGGATACACAAATTACATTTTTATAATTGCACAGTGGTATATACATTAATGGGAATTTATGTTCATCATTTTGCTTATCAATGAGTACATAAATTACTCTCAGAAAAAGGAATAAAGCTAATTACTGGTTTTTGCAGACTGCTCCTTGATAATTTTCTGCAGCTGTTGCATTTCTTGGTCCTGGTCAGCATAATTGATTTCCCTGGCCTCTGACTGCTGGGTGACAAATAAAGCTGGGTCTGTACCTAGATAGCTACAGTCTATGTGGCCATACTCATCTAGGGTCACTATCACACCTTTCAAATCCCTAAAATGAAATTGTTATTTAATAAGTGACAAGAGAGAAAAATTAAGAAAAACAAAATTGCTTCTTTAAAATTTTAAAAATGTTTTCAAATGAAAATTCACAATATCATAAGAGACTTGGGTTACTCACTTTATTAAAACACTTTTCCACATCTGATTCAATACTTACTGCAAACAGCAAAACCTGGCTTAATAATTTGAAATTCAAAATACCAAAACTAAAACAATAAAAATAGTAAAAAAGAAATAAATGCATAAGATATCAAATTATGGTTATTAAGTACAGAATAATACTCACTGAAAGTTTCCTCTTTTCACCTGCACAGGTAAATGTTGAAGCTGTGCTGCCCACTTTAATGTCACGTCTTGGTACACAAGTAGCGTATTAGTGTGGGTAGCTACCATGTAGTTAATGGTGCCCTCTGACACTGGAAAGATTATACCATTTAATCTCTTAATATAATATTTAACTGGCATAAAACTACAAGCCCATTTAATTTCTGCTGATATACATAAACAACTGAATAGTGAATCTTGTTGAATTGTCATAATTTTATATTTTTTAGTAATTGATATTATTTATGCATAAAATAACCAACAAATGTGGTTAATAATCTTTATTTTTTTCATATTTCTTATTAATGAACATTCACAAGAAAATTAAAATCATTTTCAAAATATCTGGAAATAACAGTCCCAGATGGACTCACCAGAACTGTAAGGTAGAAAACAACTTGGACTGTAGTCAAATTTCTTCATAAACTTTAGTTTTCCACCTTCTGTCAGACAGAATAAGTTTCTTTCCCCTGCAATTGGAATAATCATAGCACTATAACATCCCATGTTAATAAGGCTACATATCTATAGTTACTACAACTTTTAACCTATGAAACGATGGCTGAACAGCCATATTCCCCTCATCTGGTGCATCTTGTGATGCTAAGGCAACCAAATGTTTGAATATGGTTTGCAACAACCAATTGCATGCCCAAACAAATCACTTAAAATAAAGGTTAAGATAAAGGCAGAGACATAAATAGCTTTCCGATCAGAGTAATTTTTATCAGGAGCTATTATAAGAAGGTCTCAAGGCTCCATGGCAGAGGGTTACATTCAGAAGTATTTCCCTAGCATAAACAAGACATATAATGTCCACACAACTACTATATAACTCTCAAACTTGTCAGCTTAGAAAATCCTACATATTAATAGGATTTATTATATGATACAATACGTAAAACACAATATTTCGGCTTCTAATGGAAACACAACAAGAGCAAAACCATGGACATGTTTTTGTCTGAGAAAGATATGAGAAGCCCATACCTAAAATCATGATGGCTGTTGATATATTAGGAAATGCAGTCACATATATGTCAAGGGCTTGTTCTCCCATATTATATGTCCAGTCAACCTGAAGAGAAATGGACATTATAAAATACACTCATTACTTCTGAAGGTTTGAATTAGACCTTTAATCTATTAATGACACTACTAAGAGAAATAAAGGCAGGTAGTTTGATATTAAAAAGAGAAATGGAATATATATATATATGTACAGAGCATGGGCAAAGAAAGCAAGCACATAATACTTGTACTTGTGTATTGAGATATAGCACTGTTAGAGAAAGAGAAAGAAAATAAGCTCACTGCAACTTTTTTCCCTGTTTTTATGCTTTGTGACTCTTCTTTTGTTGCGGAATCTGTGGCCACTGCTAGCACCTGGTATCTACAGAGATGAAAAATAAAATGAGAATATCTCATGCAGACTCATAACAATCATAAATGAAAACTATTATGACATATTAATGAAATTTTCACAAAATAAGTCTGCAACATTGAATACCAATTTCTATGGCCAAGCAAATTACGTAAAGAAAGGTAAAATTAAATGCAGACACAAATCAATAGCCTGACACACTCAACCCTTAACATGTTCCAGCAGCCTGACAGTTTACACATTGTCCTTATGCTCAAACAATCACACCTCCCTGGTGTGTAAACAAGTTATATTTGTGCATAGGAGACAATAATATTAACATCATTTAAATAGAATAGACAGCACTACCGTGACCTTGTTTCAAATCTTGTTCTAACTGCCAAATGCTCAGTGCTTTGGCAAGGAGACATATGGTCCTTATTCATTAAGGTATACTACTGACACAAAAGTAATGAAAGCACTCACTTATAGCTTTCCACCTGCCTACTGGAGGACACAGTGACAAAGCTGTCTGTTACAGCAACATATTTCATTGGTCCTGGTAATAGAGCCCCAGGAAGAAAGCGACTGAATGCAAAACAATCCTGCTCAAATACAGAGAGTGTGCCATCCATAGACTGAACACACAGAAAGTCTCGGCCTGCAAGAGAAAAAGGAATGTCCTTTGAAAAAAATCTTTATAGTAATTTCATAATTATCTTTGATTGATGGTTGAAAAACATTATTATTTGAAAAAAATCTTAACTGTATGATCGTAATCAATTTTCATTACATAATTCAATGACTTTTTATTTGAATAAGGGTACCATTTAATAACCATTATCATCTTGTCAGTAATTTATAGTCCTATCTTACCTTTGACTCCTCCAAATGGACCATAACACATGTTGTATGAGGTGCGCTGCAGACTGTGCTCATACATCAAGTTCAGCTGACAGTAATGGCCGTGTTCAACAGCCCCAGATACAGCTAATAATGACAAAAACCAGAATATCGATAATATTGCAAACTATCACAAACACTAATAGACAATTATGTTTAAATAACAGTATCCTTTACCTTATTCTGCACTTATGCACTGTGGCATACCATAAGTAAAATGAGAAGAGAAATAAGAAAAGATATACTATTTAGTACAACATGGATAAAGGGAGAGAAACAAGTTCAAGAAAAGAAAGAGTGGATTAGGAAAAAGGAAAGAAAATATAGATAAAAAATGGGGTTCAAGATTTCACTGACCTGTAATACTGTAAACTACAATCTTCCTAGGATGGAGAACTGCTAAGTGCAATTTATCAGATGCTCTAAAAGATAAAATCAGTAATAAGTCTACCTTGAAATTAGACTGAAAAGCTTGCAAAATACAGGCATTTAACAGAAAAAAATTCCTATTGCTCCATTTTAACACAAAATAGGCACATTCCAGTGATCAATAACTTCTGTAAAAAAAATACAAGTGATCATGCCATTAGTATATAAGAAATATTTGATGATCATCTTAAGTCAATTCACAAGTTAAACCAGTTTTCAACACTTTAGAATAGTTTTATGAAAATTCTGACTGTCCTCTTGAAGACCCTAGAAACCATCAAGATCTACAAAACATGAATTTTATATATTTTTTCAATGTTCACATTAACAAGACTTCATTTATAACCATCCTAAATTGTAATGCTGGAAGGCTAAATAAAACAAACAATTTCTAATACTTACGAAACAAACTTCCCTGCTTCTACTTGTAATATGGGGTACTGCAAGTGGGTTTCCAGCATCACATCTTCTGACTTAAATCCACTCCAGCCTTTCTCTCCTTTCACCGGACGTGGATTAAATACCCGTAAAGATCCATGGTAACTTCCAACTATTATTTTTTCTTATGGGAAATAAAAGCAAATAAATATATTATTATATGTAATTAACTGGCTTTATCTATATATCCTTTGCTTGTTTATAAATGCTATTGTCAACTACTAAATATGACGAATTTTGGCACAGGAAAATGAAAATTATTTGTTAATTCTTTATCTATTGATTCGTGCTCTTTTAACTGTTCAAAAACTCCACACAGACAGTAAGTGACCTTTTGTTCTGCTAAACTGTGATCTAAATTTGTTTTCTTTAAATATCTGACTATCACACCTGTTCCTGTTGAGCTGTTATCTATATTAGCTACACACAGGCAGCCAAGATCATATTCCTCATCCTCTCCTGCTAGAGTGGCCCACCACTCCCGTGCCTTGAATAGGGACATGCTGGAGAAAAAATGAATGGTAAAGCAATACATATTTCACAAGTGTAAGTGGAAGCAAATTTGAAAGAAAAATCTTGCTATAATCCCTTTTAGTTATATACTGACAAATTGTTTAAATTTTAGATTAATTATATTCATCCAGACAGATGAACTTTCCTAAGTTTTTATCAAAATGTTTTAATGCTAAATGGGGCACTAAGAATCAGATGTATTAATGCAGAACATTCTAATTTGTCTTTTAGTCACAGTTAATGATCAGCTGGTATGTGTTTAACTATACTGACATGTGTATTTAAGTTTATTGATATGTCAGCATTTTTAACTGTATGTTTAAAAACTGACCAATAAATTGGCTTTCGAAAATAATGCAGGCAAGATTGAGGCTTTTAATCAAAACAAAAGTATTTGTAGTTTTTTCTCCGCTTGCCAAATTAGCAACAGCATGCTGAGCAAGTTGTATTTATCATTGTTAATGTGATGGCTGTGACTATGAAAATGGTAATGCAATCAACCACATGTCAGATGTAATATTATCAATATCACTTGTTTACTATTCTGAGAATTCATATCATATATGACTATATAAATTTAAGCTTTGAGACTGGAACATGATTAGACCTACAAACTCATTATAATGATTGGAGTCAAACAGGCAGATTTCGTGTTGAAAATTTAAGTACATTGAACAGTAATAAGCTGCAATAACTATTTTACATTTTCAAATAATAGCTATCTGTCAGAGTAGACCTGGAAGACAACACTGCGAAAAGTAAATTTGTTTGCATCTTTCTATGGCGACATATAAACAACATTATTTCCTTACCTTAAAAACAATGATAAACTGGTGCAATAACTACATTGTGTGTTCTGGTATTTACATACTGCCCTATCTCGACATTACGACAGCTTTTCACTGCAAACAAATGAAACGCAAATGTATTATGATCTATTGAAATGTCATATTCTACACAAGTTTTATTCCCGCTGAACTATTTTGCAATACGCATGCGCAGCCGGAAATTGAAAACAAGAAAATTATTCTATGAAAATCAAATTTATCAACATTATCTAAACATAACTATCTCCACTACTTTTAAGTTGGCAAAAATGGTGTTAATTGTTGATTATAATTTGAAAAACATGGTATTTATTTTAGTTGCATTTAGGATCCCTGATATACGAGATTACACGTATGTGCGGCCATATTTGTTGTGGAACATACATCTGCTTTTTTCCATCTTGTGCATTTTTGTGCACGAAAAATACTCCAGTTTAAAATGGAATTAGGCATTGTAAGGTTATCGGCAAAATGGACCTTTCTATTAATCGTAACTGTAAGTATACCATTTATTATGTCTTTACTTTTGAAAATTAAACACCGGTATGGTAATAGTCTGTATCGTTTGGAGTGAATCAGAGAGAGTAGAAACACTAGACTGATGTCGGATGAGCTGTGGCTGTCAGTGCAGCAGTTTACTTCCTTGTTGCAATCAGTCCAGAAAAGATATGGTTAAAGTGAATTTCGTGCAACTTGATTGGAAAGAATTTTATTTTAGATCACCGGTTTAAAGTGGGCTTCCTTGTTGCAATGGAAAAAAAAACTGTTTAGTGAACTGAAATTGAAAAAAAAAAAAAAATGAGATAATAGCGTGTAGCATACTGTACATGAGGGGCAGGGAGAAGGGTCAGAACTCGGCTCCTTTGAACATCACTTAGTGCCAATTCTAGATATATCTCATATTTGGACTTGGTGGAAAAATTCTAAAAACATCCCCCATTCACTTTTTAGTTTAATATGAATTCAGCGGGAAATTCAGTCGAAGCATGTGCATAGAAACATCGTCTGCTTCAAGCTTTGACAAGATGTCGTTATTTCACAACTAGGCAAATGAAGATTGAAAGTGACACTTATTGCTACACTTAGGGTCATTCAACTAAAAAAGTGAACATATGAGTCATGTCATTAACACACAATTTATTTTTGTTGTATTCATGAATGAGATTTTCCCAACTATCAGTGGATTTCTGACCCTTTGGGTGTCAAAATATCATTTTTGAGATCAATGCAAGGGCCCCGTAGACCCAAGGCCATATTTTCAGACTTCTTTACTAAATGGCGTTATCATCCCTAATTATTTGAAATATTAGACATCAAAAGTAATTAAGAACTGATATAAACAGATTTGCAAATATTGCACACAATGTGTTACCAACATGACTCAATTGTTACTTTCTTGTGGAACAATGCCTTGATGAAATATCATATTCTATGGTTTGTTCATTATCCTTATGTTATGTGCTCAACTTGTGATGTACATATTATTCAGATAAATGACCTTAGACTGTTCAGACTGTACTTCAGGTGTCTAACAAGCACTGCTAATTATAATGTGTAAGTGTTAAACCAAACCTCACATGGGGTCATGAATAAGCACTATTCTCTTTATTTCAGGTTTCTGTTTTCTACAGACCAACAGATAGTGGTGCTATTCAGATGCATGATGCCAATCTTGATGAAGTATTATGTAAGTGGTATAATTTGTATCTCATTTCATATGGAAACATTTTGTATGAAAGCAAAAAAGTCTAATATAAAATTCACATTGTATAATTGAGAAAAAAATACAGTTATTTAAAATATTATTTTGCTCTTGTGGTTTCTAGATGACCAGTAAACTACAGATCAAATGATAATTGGGACGTCAATATAGATTTGACTTATGACAGAAAATTAGGCAATAGAAACAGTTTTAGTATCTTGTTGCCATAGATTGCAAAGCTATTGCCATACATAAGGTCACAGACTGTAAATGGCATGAATGCGTTTGAGTAATGGCACAGAACTTGATGAAATGGAATTATTAATGCACTATAAAGATGTAGAACACATCAATAAAAAGAGCAAATGTATGGGAGTTTTTTCTTTTTGTTACAGCTAGCAATGAAGTAGTCTTTGTAAATTTTTATGCAGACTGGTAAGTTTTATTTTGTGCCTCTCTAATTTTTTTGCAGTGTAGTACTTAACATTTTGAAAAGGGTTGTTTATATGTAAAAACCTGCATATGTATACATGGCAGGATGATAACATTCAGGGACTATCTGTCTGTAACGGTTAATGAATAATTCATTGCAATTAAGCATAAACCTGCTCAGTTTATGACAATTTAATATATTGAATCTTGATTTTTATAGTTGTTCGCCTTTGATCTTAATTTTAGTAGTAATGATTGTTTATTATTAATTAACAATTTCTGATTAAAAAAGTTTGTGACATCTGAAGAATTTAATAAGATTTTGAATATGTTTTTTT